CGAGTGCCGGGGGCTGCCGCGGGAGGAGAACCGGGCGCCCGGTGGAGAGGCGGCGGGGAGCAGCGGCCTGGGGCCGGCAGCCAAAAAGTAGGTGTCAGTCCTTGCGGGACCCGGGGGGGAGGCAGACCCCATCCGTCTGCCCTCAGATCACGCCATGAATCTCTGGGGCTTTCCCAGGAGAGGGTTTAATCGCGGGTTTGCCTCTTGGCTTTGGAAGCCGAAGCACAAGTCCCTAGAAGCTGAAATTGCAATGAGATGGGGCTGAAGGTGGTGCAGAAGCATTGTACTGGGGGGCTAGCAGGCAAGGAAGGGGCGCTCTGTGTGTCAGAGAGGCGAAATGCAATAATGAATAGGGGTTTTTGTACGCTTGAGGAGTTTGGGTGGTTGGCTGTGGCCCAGCTCTCGGGACGTACTGATTGAACTGCAGGTTCACTTCCTTTAAAAAGAAATTTTTAAAAAGCCGTCTGAAGAGCAGCAGCAGTGTGCACGGCTGTCATCGCTGCGCCCAGTGCTCTGTGGCACCGCTTCAACGTGTGCACCCGGTGTCGTCAGAGTGTGGTCGCGGGCATTAAACAGCAAAATCCCTGTTGCTTTCAAATAGTAGCAAGATCGGTGCACCTGGCTGCCTGCACGGGGTGCGTTGAGGGCTGTCAGTGCATCCTGGGATGAAACAAACTGCGACTAGTTTTCCTCCACGACTGCTTTGGAACTACAGTGTGTTCTTGGAGAAGCAAGTTGAAAAGAGCACTGGAAAGTTGACAGTACATCTGTTGGCCTTCTGTCATGATTTAACCCAGCAGGCAGCTGAACACCACCCTGCTGCTCGCTCGCTCCCCCCGTCCCGCAGCGAGATAGGGGAGAGAGTTGGGGTAAAAAGTGAAACTGGTGGATTGAGATAAAGATGGTTTAATAAAACATCAGAGGAAAAGAATAACAATAATAATAGAATATACAGAATATATAAAACAAGTGATGCACGATGCAGTTGCTCACCACGCGCTGACTCACCCAGCCCGTCCCGAGCAGCCAACTCCCCCTGAGCATGATGCCCTATGGTCTGGAATACCCCTGGGGCCAGCTGGGGTCAGCTGTCCTGGCCATGCCCCCTCCCAGCTCCTTGTGCCCCTGGCAGAGCAGAGGAAGCTGCAAAGTCCCTGCCTGGTGTAAGTCCTGCTCAGCACCATCTGAACGATCAGTTATCAACGTTCTTCTTGCGCTGAATCCAAACCACAGCGCTGTGCCCACCACTAGGAAGAAAATCAACTCGATCCCAGCTGAAATCAGTGCACCTTCATATCCTCACTGAAATCATCTTTCTCAGGAAAGTCTGATAAAACGCAGCATCCATCTCCACTGACCTCGCAGTGGGTGTTTTGTATAAAAGGGCCCAGTAATTGGTAGTTGGGGAAATTCTCCGTGCTCAGATGTGCTTCCTTTGCGTTACAGACAAGAGCGAGGCAACTCCCCATAGCCGTCGGCTCCGTTTCAGAAAAGCTTAGGAGGCCACTGGCAATTTCTGTACGTCAGAGATGGGATTACTCTGCCAAGCTGTCGCCTCAAAGATTTAACTTTCAGGCTGCACTGCGGGCAGCAGTGTGAAACATTGTCTTACAGATGCTCCATTCTCGAAATTGCCAAGTTGCTTTTGGTTTTGGTTTTTTTTTTTCCACCAAATACAGATAATCCTAAACTGTCGGGGGGGGCCCCATAAGAATGAGCCCTGAATTGTCCTGAAGGACAAGCAAAGACTTTTAAGCGCATCCGACCTCTTGGAGAAACAAAAGATGTGCACCGTAGTGCTGCAAAGCTTCCCTCCACTTGGAATTTGTTTGGCTGAGTAGGGACCGGGTGGTGATAACTCACAGAGCATGCACAGCGTCACCATCTAAAACAATTTAAAAAAAAAGTCTTTTAAAAAAAATGGGCTTTGTTCGCCTTTCAAACGAGCTGAGTTCTGCTAACTCTTGAATTGGTAACGCTTCTCACAGGGCTGGCCCCCTGCCACCAAGTCCCATGGAAGACAGCGAGTCCTCTGGAGAGGACTAGAGGTGACCTGAGCCTGACCGGAACGATAAACCGCATCCCCTGCACTCGAGCTGGTTTTGATATATTTTTATAAGTTGGGTTTTTTTACAGTTTGATACGGCTTATGTTCAGCTGTTGTACAGAATTGAAAGGATGAGAGACTGCAGGAGCATTGTGGTAAAATTATGTTGAAATAAATTAATATATACTTTTTGAAGCTTAGTCATTGGTGTAAGTCCCTCTTTCCATTTTTATCTCGGTGACTCCTGCCTATCGTGCAGCTTTCACCCTTCGATTGCCCAAGACTTGCATGGTTGTGCTTGTTCTGGTTTTAGAAAACAGATCCTTGGTTTGTTAACACACTGAAACATTCTGAAAACACGCTCCTGCCATGTCTATTGAAGTAAAAACTGCTAATGACAACCCTTTTGTCCAAAGAGACAAAAAAGCTGGATTTAAAAAGACACCGGTGAGGTGGAAGGGGAGGCGTCGCTTGCTCCCATTCAGAGGTGAAGTTTAATTAAAACAAAGTGGTTTGTTCTAATGAATCAACACCCTGAAAGCCTGGGGAGCAATAAACTGCTAAAAAGAAATAGAACTTGCTACCTGAGGGGCCTGAGGCTGCCGGGCAATTTTGGGGGTGCTTTGTGTGAAAGAGCAGGTTGGGGTCTTGCGGAAAAGAATCATAGAATCACAGAATCATTGAGGTTGGAAAAGCCCTTTCAGATCACCAAGCCCAGCCGTTACCCTAACCCTGCCATCCCACCACTGAACCCTGGCCCTCAGCACCTTGTCTGCCTGGCTTTTAAATATCCCCAGGGATGGGGACTTGACCCCTTCCCTCGGCAGTGCCTTCCAGTGCCTGACAGCCCTTGCGGGGAAGGAATTTTTCCTAATGTCCTGCTCACAGGGGTTCTGCTGCTGCTCTGCCTTAGAAGTGCCACAGACGATAGGAGCCGAGTTGAGCTGACAGAAGAGTGAGTGTTGGCATGTGAGGAGAGTTCAGTGGCAGCTCTCAAAGGTCAGCCTGGTGCATCTCCAGAAGCCTCTCCCTAAAAAGCCTATGAAAAAAAAGGAGGATTGGTCCAGAAAAGGCAGAAAAGTTGTTTGAGAAGTAGGAAGTGAAGATTTCTCTTTTATAGAAATTAAAGAAAAATAAAATATGTAAATTAAGGTCAATAAGCTCGTGATAAGGCGCTGTAAAATCTAGAGACTTCTGTGCCCTTAGATGGCACAAAATAACAAGGCGACTTGCTCAGTGCCAGCAAGATAATGGCCTGAGCAGGCTGGTCTGTCGGCAGCTGCGTAAGGTCTTGCCTGTGCTCCCTGCTCCAAACTGCCCGCGTCAGAGAGGAAATGGGTCTGCTGGCCCCCTGGTAGCAGGTATTTGGGTTTTTTTTCTTGATGCGGAGAGGCAGGGAAGATCATCACAACTTAGTCATTCGTTAGCAATCTCGGCCTTTCTGGCAAAGGACAAATTCCCAGCGCGCAGAAGTACCCCCCCATGCACCTTCGTTAGCCTGAGCGCACATGCCTGGTGCAGCTAAGGGCTCATTTACACAAGGAAATGTGTTCACATGCTCAAGCTTAACCCCAAATGGGGAATGGCTGCCACGGCCGAGCGGTGCCCGTGTTGTTCCAGGACCCGGTGGCTACCGAGCCTGCCATCAGACTTGCCAAACTTAGCTGTAGCCCTCAGTCAGGGCTGCTCCTCCAAAGCTGCCTGGGAGCCAGCAAAAAAATGGCTTGGGCTCTTCTCGGCTCTCCATCACCAGCATTGGCTCCTGTGCTAATCATGTTTCACAGCTGCAAGCTGGTGAGGGGAGAATGTCTAAGAGCTACTCTTGACAAAATTAAATCGAGGCCGCTCTCCCCGGAACAGCCGTAACAAACAGGCTCTGGATCGTTCTGGCATACAAGTCGCTAGAAAAGTTAAAATGAGATGGAGCGGGAACATAAGAGGCTGCAGGAGGACGCAACATGTGCAGAAGGAGCTTAGGATCAAAGCGTTGCCTACCTGGTACGCAGCGACCCTGCTGCGACATCTCGTGAAAGAGCAAAGCTTGGTATTAAGGAGCAGCTAAACCCACTTTTGCTTCTCATAAACAAACATGCTCGCTCCGCAGAGGGAAAAGAAACCCTGACGTTTACATCATGAACTGCGATCTTAAAGATAAAGCCCCCATTTTAGGGTTGGGTTTTTTCATGGAACAGCAGTTTCTGGG